TTTTTTTTTTTTTTTTTTTTTTTTTTTTTTTTTTTTTTTTTTTCATGAATACAATACAACACGTGTACAAGAATACGATAGAAGACGAGTTGAAAAAAAGTAGATAGTACGAAAGGAATGAAACGTAGTCAGGGAATGTATATATTTTTTTGAATAAAGAATACTCGTATTTGAGAACTTATTCTTAGGTATAATTCGTAAGACCGAGAATTGTTGTCGTTCCACTTTTTTGCCAATACGACGGAGAGGTAACGTGTTTCCGCCGATTGTCAAACTTCCGTTCCCTATTTCAGCCGGAAACAATGAAATTGCCAAAATCACCAGTGTGGAAGCGGCGTATATCTTCCCTAATTAATAAAACATTAACGTCAAGAATAAAATTCTAAAACGCTCGAGTTATTCCATAATTCGAATCGTCCCTCTCGGTTAATAAATTTTTATTATCCCTTTTATATGTTCGAAGCGAACGTAAGGACGAAATATTATTCATTGATTATTCGAGGTTTATGGATTAGTTTAGACACTTTCCTCGAATGGAAGTAAAAATTTTCTGAAAATTTTTTATTTCTAAAAAAATTTCAATTCTAAAAACTCAAAGATTGCTGTTTCTTCAAAGTATTCCAATTATTTTTTCGATAATTATTTGTAGAAATTAGGAATGAAAGACTGGAAATATTTTCTGTGATTGGAATCGTTTTTCGTTTTTTTCACATGATTATGGAAATTCTCTAAATATACCTTTAAAATTTTCATTGTATATTTTGCATATTTATTTTCTTCACACATATATCCGTGAATTATATTTCGAATTTTAATGTTTCAAGAAGCGTTTCTATAGAAATCGATGCAAATTGACTGAATAGATCAAAATTAAACGCGTAGTTGGAAAATAATTTTTGTAAAATTAAATCGATCTTTCTCGATGTTTAAATTTTAATATCAAGTATACAAACATTCCAGGATTTCTCGATGTTTAAATTTTAATATCAAGTATACAAACATTCCAAGAAGAAATAGTTGACGACTGAATAAATTAAAATTAAAGAAAATATAATTGGAAAATAATTTTCATAAAATTCAATCGATATTTCTTGATGTTTAAATTTTAATATCAAGTATATAGACATTCCAAGAAGAAATAGTCATTGAATAGATGAAAATTAAAGAAAATATAATTGGAAAATAATTTTTGTAAAATTCAATCGATCTTTCTCGATAAATAAATTTTAATATCAAGTATATAAATATTCCAAGATTTCTCGATGTTTAAATTTTAATATCAAGTATACAGACACTCCAAGAAGAAATAGTTGACTATTGAATAGATTAAAGTTAAAGAAAATATAATTGGAAAATAATTTTCAAAATTATTTTATATATTGAATAAAATTCAATCGATCTTTCTCGATGTTTAAATTTTAATATCAAGACATTCCAAGAAGAAATAATTAATGACTGAATAGATTAAAGAATTTTAAAGATTAAAGAAAATTAAAGAAAATATAATTGGAAAATAATTTTCATAAAATTCAATCGATCTTTCTCCATGTTTAAATTTTAATATCAAGTATATAGATATTCCAAGAAGAAATAGTTGACAACTGAATAGATGAAAATTAAAGAAAATATAATTGGAAAATAATAAAATTCAATCGATTTTTCTCGATGTTTAAATTTTAATATCAAGACAAGAAGAAATAATTGATGACTGAATAGATTAAAGAATTTTAAAGATTAAAGAAAATTAAGGAAAATATAATT